GGCCGCGTTGTCACCAGTTTGTGCCGAGGTTGGTGGTGAGGACGTCCCCCTCGCGCAGGCGGCAGCGCTCGGGGCGCCGGGCGCCTTTCCAGCCTGCTCCCCTCCTGCAGACCGGCCTTTGCACTGAGAGAGCTGCAATTCCGGGGGCTGATCCAAAGAGGAGCATCCATCCCGATCCAGGGGAACTGCAGGGATCGGCCTCTCCGTGCGCCTCGGGAAGCGGGAAAACACAGCGGTAGGTGAGGCAGGAAAGGGAGCTTAGGAAAACAAGGAGCAGAATGAAGAGCAAGTCAGAAATCCTCTTCCATGGAAGCAGCCCTTGGGTGTCCCTTCCATGCGGGGCCGGGACGGGCTCCTGCAGCCGGGAATGGTGCCGGGCACGGCCGGGCGCGCGCGGCTCCGCGGGGACCCCGCGAGGTCGGTGTTTCTCTGCTGCTCCCCTAAACCCCCTCGTTTCTACTGGGGGTCATTAGTTGTCCTCGTTAGCATTATGCCCTTAATTACCGACTACCCGTGCTGGGCTCGGCAGAGGCGCGGGGCGGTCGCCTCCCCCACACAGGGATGCGCTTGCGAGGGGATTTGGGAGCAAATCCCCCCCTTTGGCTTTTCCTTATGGAGCTGGGCGTCCCTCGCAGCAGGGTGCATTTCCTCCCCTCATAACACTTAAGCCTATTTGAGAAGGCGCTTGGGAGCCCGTGGGACATTATTTGTTCAAAGCAACGGCGTTTCGTAACCGAATACCGGGTTCACTTGTCCCTGTGAGATTTACGTGCCCAGGAACACGTGGAGCTCCCGCGTCGCGCTCCCTTGTCCGCTCCGCGCCGGGCCGGCCGCTCCGTCCCGCTCCGCGGCCCCGGGGACGGCTCCGCTCCCAGCCCCTGCGCGAGGGGTTGAGGCAGGTTCCCTCCAAGCTGTTCCCACAGGGCAATTCCCGGAGATTCCTAGAGATGTGGTCTTTACTGCTGGCATTTCCCCTCCCAACTGAGCGGGGTGGAATTTATGGGAGAAGTAAAATGTCTTTTGTTTTCTTATGAAAATTGCTATGAAATTTCCAACCATTTTTCTTTTTTTAACTGCTACTAAGTGAGGGCCGTGGCGGTGCCAGACCCAGCGCCATGGGGGCATCCGGAGCGGTGCTGCCTGCGGCAGCGGAATGTCAGGAGGCTCCTCCCGGGATGCAGGGAAGGAAGAGCATCCCGGGAGCGGCCGAGGGGACGCTCAGCGGTGCCAGCTCCGGAACAGCCCAAAGCTTCGGATTATTTGAGGATTATTTGCGATTATTTATTTACCATCCCGTGACTCGCGTAGCTGGAGGCAGCGACAAAGATCTCAGAGGTTCCAGCCTGGCAGACTGGATGCTCCTGGTGGGTGACGGAAAGGGAGGAATCACAGGTTTAAAGCAGGTGGATTGTGTGTGGTCTGGGGCTCCCTCCTCTTTCTTGGCCCCTTTCCCTCAGATTCACTCCTGCTTCCTCTGCTTTCCTTCCCACCATCACAGACTTGGAGTCCTGCTCCTGAACGGAGGCTACAGAGAGAGGTCGGAAGACAACCCGAGCGCCTCGTGTTTGTGTCCTGCTCAGGGGCACTTCACTAGTAGCTCATACGTGATCCTGCAGAGCCTCCGCTGTGGCTGCAGGACTGTACGACGGTCCTCCCTTTGCAAGGGACAACAGCGTTTCCCTTTGGAACCTCCTCGTGCTGATTGTATTTTAATGTAGCACAGATGAACTCACGTCCCTGGGGGGCTCTTCCGTCTCCACTGAGATGCCAGGGAAGGGGGGGACATTGCTGCGAATGCAGTCAGAATTTGGCATGGCTCGTGACACACTGCTCTGCAGGGCTCCCTGTGGGGCATCCCAAGCTGTTTATCATAGAATCACAGAATCATGGAATGATTGAGGTTGGAAGCGACCTTTCGAGGTCATCTAGTCCAACCCCTGCACACGCAGGGTCACCTAGAGCACGTGGCACAGGACTGCGTCCAAGCGGGTTTGAAGATCTCCAGAGAAGGAGACTCCACAACCTCTCTGGGCAGCCTGTTCCAGCGCTCTGTCACCCTCACTGTCAAGAAATTTTTCCTTAAGTTCCTGTGGAACTTTTGGTGTTTCAGTTTGTGGCCGTTTCCTCTAGTTCTGTTGGTGGCCACCAGTGAAAAGAGGCCGCCCCATCCTCCTCACTGCCTCCCTTGAGGTACTTCTAGACACTGCTCAGGTCCCCTCTCAGCCTTCTCTTCTCCAGCTGAACAGGCCCAGCTCCCTCAGCCTCTCCTCACAGGGCAGATGTTCCAGGTCCCTGATCATCCTCGTAGCCCTGCGCTGGACTCTCTCCCGCAGCTCCACATCCCTCTTGTCCTGTGGAGCCCAGAACTGGACACAATACTGCAGATGTGGCCTCACCAGGGCTGAGCAGAGGAGCAGGATCCCCTCCCTCGACCTGCTGCAGATGCTCTTCTTATTGCCACACAGTCATGTCTGCAAATATTATTGAGTTTCATATTTCTTTTAGACTTTTGTTTTGCTTTCCCTTGTTCAAAATGTTCCCAAGTTCCTTTCATTAACAAATATTGATGTCTCTCTCTTACATTCCTTGTGAAACCTGGCTTGTAATTCTTCCCAATACTATCCTGAATTCCCACGTCCAGCTGTGGGTCGGGGGGAGAAGTGCAGAGTTCATGGTGGTGTTTCCCATTGGAGTTAGACGGTGTCTCTGGCTCTCTTGCAGTGACCCGTCACAACCACCTCAAGGACTTCATGCTGGTGGTGTCCATCGTCATTGGCGTGGGGGGCTGCTGGTTCGCCTATATCCAGAACCGCTATTCCAAGGAGCACATGAAGAAGATGATGAAAGACCTCGAGGGCCTCCACAGAGCTGAACAGTCTCTCCATGACCTTCAGGAAAGGTAATTCCCTCCCTGAGAAGGACTCGAGCGGGGAACGCGGCGCGATGTGACCGAGCACGGCTCCTCGTGCTTGCTCAGAGCTGCTTAACGTGCACCTTCTTGTCCTTTCTACGTTGCTCCTATGTCTTTTATTTTTTCTTTGGTTTGCCTTCTGCTCTGATTTTCATTACGGGCCCTAAGAAACTGGCTTTGAGCTTCAGGGAGAGCTTCACTTCTGCTGCCGGCCCGCGAGAGCCCTTGTCCCCTCCTGCTCCAGCTGGAGCTCCTGTGCTTGAGAATCAGAGGATTTCGTTCAATCCTCCTTTGGGGCATTATTTTGATTCGAGCTTTCTGTTTCTCTACCCTTGTGACAGTGGTTTGTACTCCTTGTCCAACTGATACTGAAGTGTATCAGCATTCTCCTTTTTTCTTTTTTTTTTTCTCCTGTGAAATTGTGGTGGAAATCAGCACCTAAAAGGGAAAAAAATAGCCTTTTTTTCCCCTTTTAATTATTTATTTTTAGAAGCCTTTTTTTAAGGCAGATCAGGCTGTTCCACCCTGTCTTTTAGCAGGGTACAAGTGCCGTGATGGAGCAGGAGCGGCTCCGCAGAGGATCGCACCCCTGTGTAAATCGGCGGGCAGGCGGGTTTGCCAGAAAGGATTAAAAAGGAAACCATTTCTGAGTAGTAGATGTGAGTAGCCACAACCTGGGCACTCGCTGCTGCCGGGGTCTTTCCTTGGTCCCCCTGGGCAGAGCTCGGTGGCCTTGGCGAGGCCGCCCCTGTTGCAGGAGCGGCTGCAGCGGCGCTGCCTGCGCGGGAGGTCCCTGCGTCCAGGGAGCAGCGAGCGCCAGCCCCACCGGCCTCTCTCAGCACAGAGGTTTTCATGGAATCATGGAATGCTCAAGGTTGGAAGGGACCTCTAGGGATCATCTAGTCCAACCCCCTGCACACGCAGGGTCACCTAGAGCACGTGGCACAGGGCTGCGTCCAAGCGGGTTTGAAGATCTCCAGAGAAGGAGACTCCACAACCTCTCTGGGCAGCCTGTTCCAGGGCTCTGGCACCCTCACTGGGAAGAAATTTTTCCTTAAGTTCCTGTGGAATTTTTGATGTTGCAGTTTGGGGCCGTTTCCTCTAGTTCTGTCGGCGGACACCACTGTAAAGAGGCCGCCCCATCCTCCTCACTGCCTCCCTTGAGGTACTTCTAGACCCTGCTCAGGTCCCCTCTCAGCCTTCTCTTCTCCAGCTGAACAGAAGAGAAGGAGCTTTTCCTTAAGGAGTTTTATTTAAGTGTAGCTGTAGCCAGCAGCACAGCCTCGCAGGCCTGGGCTCTCTCGGTTTTTAGTTATTTTCAATGCAATCTTCTGCGCTGGTGGTGCCAAACTGGGCCGGGTGCCGTGTCCGTGACACGGATACGTGATCCGCTTCCTTTTTGCCATGAAGACAGGGAAAACCACCCTGCCCGTCAGTCCATGGAGGAGCCGGTTCTAGCAAGCAGGTTGCTCCGCAGAGCTTGGCCTCGTGTCACGTTACGAGCTGGAAAGCGCCCAAGGGAAGAGACGGTCCCACGGCCAGAAGGGCCGTGCGGATTCCTGCTCGGAGCTCCGCTCCGGGGGGAGTTATCCCCGGGCCGCAGAGCCAGGATGGAGCCCAGGATGAAGGAGCTGCTGGGAGCAGTTGGCGGCCGCAGCGATTCCGCACGCCGGGAATGACCTTGGGCGCCGTTGCCGAGGGCAGGACAACATAAACACGCGACTGTGCCCGGCGAGGGAGCTAATGCCGCAAAGCCGGGGCCGCAGGAACAGCCACCCGCGTGCGCCGGGCACCGCAGAGGGCACCGAGCGGGACCTCCCGCTCCCTGCAGGGCCCAAATTGCTCTAGTTCTTCCCTAAATGGGAAATTGGCCTTCGCTCCTCCACCCTGGCCTCCCGGGAGCTCCCGAGGGAGGGAATTGCAGCAGGGAATAGTGGTTAAAAACCTGCTCGTGGCCGGGCGACAAAGTCATTCTGCAGCTTTTGTCCCCAAGCAACGTAGGAAACTGCAGGGGTGCTGTTAGGGGTAAAACAGGAGAAAGGGGAAATACACACTGGAATGGAGTCCTAGGAAAGAACCGTGGGGATAAAGCTGCTTCCCTCCTGTGCATCAAAATACTGGGGAAATTCCCCTCTAAATGGAGGCATTTTGGTGCTTCGGGATTTTTCGGAGGCTGAGTATGGGAGAGCTGGAGCAGCCTGCATGGGGCAGAGAGCGGGGGTTTATCGGGAAACGCGGAATGTCTTGGCAGGGCTCTTAATTTGGGAGCAAAAACATCTGAGTTTCTCAACAGAGCTGTAAACTGAAAATAAACATTTCCTAGCGCAGAGCCAGCAGCATGGCCACCGCGAGGGCAGCCCGTCTAGATTTGGCTGGAGTTGCCGTCTGTATCCCAAAAAGCAGCCTGAATGACCTGTGCTCTGAGCAGTTGTGTCCACCGTGGCGAGGAGCAGCTTGAACCTTGATCCATGAGGCAGCAGTTTGTCACCACAGAGGTTCAGAATCCCAGAATCCTGGAATGGTTGGGGGTGACAGGGATCTCCCGGGATCCCCCCTGCTCCAGCAGGGACACCCGGAGCACGGGGCACCCGGGCGCATCCAGGCGGGTTGGAGATCTCCAGAGCAGGAGACTCCACAGCCTCTCTGGGCAGCCTGTGCCAGGGCTCCGGCACCCTCACACCAAGGAAGTTCTTCCTCACATGGACATGGAGCTGCCTGGGCTTCAGCTTGGCCCCGGCACCCCTTGTCCTGGCACCGGCCACCACCCAGGAGAGTTTGGCCCCGTCCTCCCTGCACTCTCCCCTCAGGTCCTTGTCCATGTTGGTCACATCCCTCTCAGGCTGCTCCTCTCCAGGTTGGACAGGCCCCGCTCGCTCAGTCCTTCCTCATCCGATGGCTGCTCCGGTCCCAAGGGTGGCCCCTGTATGTGAAGGCTTGGTTAAATCCTCTATATAAGAAAAGAGCAAGCACGTTCACTAGACCCATGGTCTGAGCACCTGCACTTGCGCTGTATGGAGCTGTATTCTGTAGTAACTGCTGCCTTTTTCCGACTCTATCCGTGTCCATCTGATCTGAACTGGAGTGGAAAGCAGAGCCCTGGTTTTCTTTCATTTTATCTGTACGTGAAGGCTTGGTTAAATCCTCTATATAAGAAAAGAGCAAGCACCTTCACTTGACCCATGGTCTGAGCACCTGCACGTGTGCTGTACGGAGCTGTATTCTGCAGTAACTGATGCTTTTTTCCCACTGTATCCGTGTCCATCTGATCTGAACTGGAGCGGAAAGCAGAGCCCTTTCCAAGCAGGTGGGCAGCAGTGGGTTGGCAGGAGCAGGCGCTCTCCTCATTTCATTCCATGGAGATTCCCGCTCTGCAAAGTCCTCCTTACGCAGCTGGGTGGTGGTTTCTCGGTCTTTTCCAGGTGAGGGGAATTCAGCCTTGTTTACAGGACGGGTACAGGGAGGCCGGGGCCGAGTCCTGCTGTCCCCTCTCTGCTCTGTCACTCCTGGGCGCCTCGCTGGTATTTTGCTCTCTGCTTTGGATCTTGAAGACCTGAAATGGGGGGAGATTTTGTCATTTGGACTGGCTAAAACGTTTCCACTGGTGGTTCTAAGCAGATTGACTGGTTTTCTTTCATTTTACGGGTAGTCCTACTCATCCTCTGAAATCTCTATGCTGTAAAACACTTTTGAGAGAGAAGTTAATGCCTCAAAGGTGCAACGGTCTGTTAGAGTGGTGAAAAAGCCATAACATCATTGTACTCAATCCAATAGCTAGAAGAGACGTTCTAGAAATTCCTCTCCTCTCCATTTGAAGGAACACAAAGATGGAGTCTCCACGTGCCTCAGAACCTTGATCCTGGCTTTAGCTGTGGCCACGTTTTCCAAAGAAGGATCTTTACTTTTCATGGGAATCACTTGGATTCTAGCTGCTGGTTCTTGCAAAGAAGGAAACCCTGTAATATTCTGTTTTAAGAGTAGTACTTAGCATGATTTTTGAGAACCTTAATTATGAAGTGAACCTCTTCATTTCAATTGCCATTGTGGCTGCAGAGCTGTGTCCGTTCCAGGCTGCCACTGCTTGGGGCTGCCGTGCGGAATTCCATGATTTAATCCTGTCACAAATAAAAATAATCACTTCCGAGCAGGACTGTGGCATGTCTAAATTTGAACACTCTTGGAACTGGAGCACACAGACATCCTATCTGTATATACATACCTGCCCAGGCAGAGCATTTTTTTTTTCTCCCTTTTTCTCCCTCTCTCTTTTTTTTTAAGGCAAAGGTCTTCATTTCTGTAAAAGTATTAAAAAATTAAAGGAATTTGGAGGTTATTTAAGAAGACCTTGGTTTGTGTACTTTGGATAATTAAGAAAATAACTATGGAGTGTTTTTAGAAAATAACTAAGGCTGGGTATTTGCGGCTGACAATTTAATTTCTTCTCAGGCACGGTGAACTTTCGCCTTGGCTTTTCCAATATGCCTCTGTTGACATGAACACAGAGTAAATAAAAGCCGGGTTTGGCTGGCGGGACCACGTCGCTCCCGGGGCCGCGCGCGGGCTGGTGGCAGCCCCGCGCCGGGCGCTCTGTGTTGCAGGCTACAGAAGGCGCAGGAGGAGCATCGCTCCGTGGAGGTGGAGAAGGTGCACCTGGAGAAGAAGCTGCAGGACGAGATCAGCATCGCCAAGCAGGAGGCGCACCGGCTGCGCGAGCTGCGCGAGGGCACCGAGAACGAGCTCAGCCGGCAGAAATACGCGGAGCAGGAGCTGGAGCAGGTGAGGGGCCGCGGCCCGCGCTGCGCCTGCGCGGAGGGCGCCTCGCCAAGGGGTAGGTGCCCATGTGTCCCTGCACACAGGCTGTGCCAGTAAGGTGTAGGTGCCCGTGGTGCCCGTGGGGCCCCTGCACACAGGCTGTGCCAGTAAGGTGTAGGTGCCCGTGGTGCCCGTGGGGCCCCTGCACACAGGCTGTGCCAGTAAGGTGTAGGTGCCCGTGGTGCCCGTGGGGCCCCTGCACACAGGCTGTGCCAGTAAGGTGTAGGTGCCCGTGGTGCCCGTGGGGCCCCTGCACACAGGCTGTGCCAGTAAGGTGTAGGTGCCCGTGGTGCCCGTGGGGCCCCTGCACACAGGCTGTGCCAGTAAGGTGTAGGTGCCCGTGGTGCCCGTGGGGCCCCTGCACACAGGCTGTGCCAGTAAGGTGTAGGTGCCCGTGGTGCCCGTGGGGCCCCTGCACACAGGCTGTGCCAGTAAGGTGTAGGTGCCCGTGGTGCCCGTGGGGCCCCTGCACACAGGCTGTGCCAGTAAGGTGTAGGTGCCCGTGGTGCCCGTGGGGCCCCTGCACACAGGCTGTGCCAGTAAGGTGTAGGTGCCCGTGGTGCCCGTGGGGCCCCTGCACACAGGCTGTGCCAGTAAGGTGTAGGTGCCCGTGGTGCCCGTGGGGCCCCTGCACACAGGCTGTGCCAGTAAGGTGTAGGTGCCCGTGGTGCCCGTGGGGCCCCTGCACACAGGCTGTGCCAGTAAGGTGTAGGTGCCCGTGGTGCCCGTGGGGCCCCTGCACACAGGCTGTGCCAGCAAGGCGTAGGTGCCTGCAGTGCACCTGTACCCAGGCCGTGCCAGCAAGGTGTAGGTGCCTGCATGCCCCTGCACACAGTCCATGCCAGCAAGGTGTAGGTGCCCTTGATGCCCCTGCACACAGGCTGTACCAGCAAGGTGTAGGTGCCTGTGTGTCCCTGCACACAGGCCGTGCCAGCAAGGCCGGGGACAGCAGCTCCCTCAGCTTCACCCTGCTGACACGGCCAGGGGGCTCTGCCTGTAGTGCTCCTTCACCTTTGGTTTTTGCTCCCCTCTGGGGAGAAGAGGCCCGCGTGTTTCCCTCCGCGTGCCGTCCCGCTGGCCCCGTGGAGCAGCGGTGCCCGTGGGCGCTTGGCAGGACGGTGCCGGTGCCGAGCGGGATCGACTGCGCTGCCACCTTGCATCTGCTCCGCTTACCGTAGCCTTCAACCCCACGGCCAATCCCTAAGCTCCCTCTTGCTTTCTTTTCCCCTCTTGCACCCTTTCGTGCCTTTGGGAGTGCTTGAGAACAGCTCCGGTTGTTCTTAACCGCGTTTTGTTGTGGAGTAGAGGCCGTACGAGCTCAGCTGCGAGCGCAGCCCAGCTCCGAAATGAAGCCCCAGATCAGAGTCTGCAGGGGTAGAGTTCATAGAATCCTAGAATCATAGAATGCTTAGGGTTGGAAGGGACCTCTAGAGATCATCTAGTCCAACCCCCTGCACACGCAGGGTCACCTAGAGCACGTGGCACAGGACTGCGTCCAAGCGGGTTTGAAGATCTCCAGAGAAGGAGACTCCACAACCTCTCTGGGCAGCCTGTTCCAGGGCTCTGGCACCCTCACTGGGAAGAAATTTTTCCTTAAGTTCCTGTGGAACTTTTGGTGCTTCAATTTGTGGCCATTACCTCTAGTTCTGTCGGTGGCCACCAGTGAAAAGAGGCC